GTCTTAATCTTTGTTGCCATATTTATTACAACGTTTCGGCCGTTCAGTATCTGTCTATATTTCTGAGATGTGGTATTATATAGACTATTTACATTATTCGGACTATTGTCTTAATCTTTGTTGCCATATTACAACGTTTCGACCGTTCATTATCTGTGTTATATTTCTGAGATGAGGTATTATATACACTATTTACATTATTCGGACTATTGTCCTCATCTTTGTTGCCATATTTATTACAACGTTTCGTCCGTTCAGTATCTGTCTATATTTCTCAGATGAGGTATTATATACACTATTTACATTATTCGGACTATTGTCCTCATCATCTTCGTCGCCATAATTATTACAACGTTTCGGCCCTTCAGTATCTGTGTTATATTTCTGAGATGCCGTATTATATACATTATTTACATTATTCGGACTATTGTCCTCATCTTTGTCGCCATATTTATTACAACGTTTCGGCCGTTGTATGCTCTGTGCTTCTTCAAGTGGTTGGAATGTCGAACTGAACCCTTTATTTCGCTCCCTGGGGTAGACTGTTCTAGTTCCACATGCCATGTTTAATGGATGTCAGTTATCAGTTATCTCCTGTTAATTCCCCTCGCCAAGTTCTCCACTGCCTTAACTGGGTATAGAACTCACATTCTTCGTACTGTCTAATGGAATAAACTTAGTCCCCACGGTGTAAATATAATAATAGTTCGGGACTGTATATCTAATGTGTTTGGAACCAAGGCTGACTGACAAAGGTGAAATTATATATACCCACGTTATAAATTAATCGATTACGGTAATATGGTGTCATTTGTATGTATAGATATATAAGAAATGTTATTTATGATGCGTTCTATGTATATTAATAGGTGTTACATTTTATATTAATATTAGTAACATCTATTTTGAAATCTATTTTAAAAAGAGTCAATGTGTTTGAGCAGATATTTGGTTTTAGGGATACATGTAGTCATCAATTCGCTTCGGCAAGTTAGGGTTATTTAAGTGTTTTAATTCAATAAGCTTCTCCAACAAACATAAGTTATATTTATCTCCCTTTCCATTATATGATTTAGCTTTCACGATTATCTCCCATTTAATGGTTTGATTCTTATAATTGTTTTTTAATCACCAAATATATTTTGAAAGTCTTGCATATTTTTTATATTTGGTATTATTCACTGTGATTTTGTGGTGGTAAAAACACGATTTCAAGCTGTTTTCGGTGGATCCAGAGTAATATTTAAAATCATCGTCTGAATTGATCCTAGCACTATAGAATATGCATTTGTGTATGCATAAGAAATGTTATTAATGATGGGTTTTAAGAATATGAATATATGTTGAATATTATATTAATATTCGTAAATTTTGAAATCTATTTTAATCAGCGTCAGTGTATTCGAGAAAGTGCTGCTTGGATTTATGGATACATGCAGACATCGATCCTTATTTCATGTTCAGCAAGTTAGGGTTATTTAAGTATTTTAATATAATAAGCTTCTCCAACAGACAAAAGTGACATCTGTCTCCATTTCCTTTGTACGGTTTAACTTTCGCGATTATCTCTCGGGTTGTTATAGTTGTTTTTTAATCGCCAAACATACTTTGAAAGTGTTGTGCAGTTTTTGTATATCATATTGCAATGTCATTTAGTGGTGGTAAAAACGCGATTTCCAGCTGTACTCGGTGGATCTAAAGTAAAATTTAATATCATTGAACTGATCCTAGTTCGGTTATGAAATTGCCATTTAATGAGCAGGTTACGTTTATATTTACGGCAGTTGCATTGATTTTTAGTAGGGCTATTATTTAGCGTTTTTTGTGTGGTTGCTTAATAAATTATTGTTATTTTTGGATATGTAATGAGCGATGTTTTTGCAGAGCTAGAGTTTACCTTGATGTTGTTTTTGTTGAAAATCTTTTTAAGATTAGGAGAATGACCAAAGTTTTTGCGAATTAAATTCAAGAAAATTTTACCTATATTAGTTTTGACATTCCTTTTGTAAGGTGGGTGAAACAAATTATGTTACGTTTGTGTTGTTTTATCTTATTTTAATCTTTCTTGTCATTTTTTCCTACATATTCTAATTTCATTTTATGGCTACTGCGTTCAAACACTTTGTTATATCTAGCTTTATTATCGTCGAATATATCCTTCTTACTGGAGTTGGTCGATAACATATATTTTTAACATTTTACATGTGGATGAGGCTATCATATTTTTATTATATATGCACACACACACACACACACACACACACACACTCTCCCTCTCTCTTTCTCTCTCTCACACACACACACACACACACACACACATATATATATATATATATATATATATATGAACAGACCACAATGTAAACAGAGTAAACCCATATATATATATATATATATATATATATATATATATATATATATATATAAATCTTCATTATCAAAGACAAGAATCGAGATGAGCTGCTGAATCTTCGGAATGAGATATTCTCTAAATGTAGACATAAGAAACGTTTCAAAACTTGAACACCGTTTTGTAACATGTTGTCACTTATGTCGGCTCCATCTTAGTCCTATAACATCGGGCATGACATTTTAATTGTATGACTATTATATTTATCTCTAAATGTATCTTTGTGCACGTTTATGTGATGCGCTATGTATTTATATATGTATATATGTTTGTGTGTGTGTATGCATGTATGTATATGTATATGTATGTGTATATGTATGTATATGCATATATATATATATATATGAAATTTTTTTTTTACACGCGCAAATATTTGAATCGTCACTTATTTAGATTTTAACTTTTTATATATATGTACATATATGTATCTGTGTGTGTATTTATATGTATGTATGTGTATATGTATGTATGTGTACATATGTGTGTATATATGTGTATGTATGTGTGTATATTTGTATGTTTATGTATGTATGTGTGTATGTGGATATATGTGTATATGTGTGTATGTATGTGTGTACATATGTACGTATGGAGGTGTTTATGTATGTATATATATAAGTGTGTATGTGTACATATGTATATACATGTATGTGCGTGTGTGTATGTGTGTGTATGTATATATACATGTGTAAGTGTGTGTATGTATTTGCATGTGTATATATATATATATGTGTGTGTATATATGTATGTATATGTGTATATGTATGTGTGTATGTGTGTGTACGTGTATGTATGGGTACATGTATATATATATATATGTATATATATGTATATATGTATATATATGTATGTGTATGTGTATATGTATGTGTATGTGTATGTATATGTCTGTATGTATGTATGAATATATGCATGGGGACATGTGTATGCGTGTATATGTATGTGAAAAGTGTGTGTATATGAATATAGATGAATATGTGTATGTGTGGATATGTGAGTATATTTTCATTTTTTTAGGTTTTTATATATATATATATATATATATATGTGTATGTATGTGTGTGTACATGTATGTCTGTGTGTGTGTGTGAGTACATGCCTAAGTGTATGTACCTACTTGTATATGTTTTTGTGTGTATTAGTATGTGTTTTTGAACATAGAAATATTTGGTCCTTGCTAAATTAGACAATCGTTATATTCATCTTCATATATTTATATTTGATTTCTAACCTGTAGTCGATATTAATTTGTCACATTTTCTCAATTACAAAGCGGCCCTTTAAGTAAACACAATTTTATTTTCCTTCGTCCCATCTCTCTCCCCCACCTCTTCTTTTTCTTTTTTTTTTTTCCCTACCTCCTATCCTAACTTCTAATTGTCTATGGTATGTATATGTCACCACGAAATGTATCTTTATGCATTAGACATCCGTCGACTTTCTTTCTCTCCTCTTTTTAAATTCCCCCCCCCCACATCTCCTAAAATTCTCTCTGTTAAGGTTTCATCTCCCTCCTCCTCATACTTACACTTTCTGAAAATTCTGTTTTGATTTCCGGAGTTGTTTTTTCTGTTTTCATTTTGAATTTGTAGGTCTGATGATTTGGATCGTATTTACGATTCCAATGGAATAAATTATGACCATGGAATATTAGTGTTTAAGCCTTTTTATTATATATATATATATATATATATATATATATGTATGTGTGTGTGTGTGTGTGTGTGTGTGTGTGTGTGTGTGTGTGTGTGTGACGAGTTTGTATGACGATTCGCAAAGGGAGTGAAACCGAGTGTCACAAACTCACATTAATCCAGCTAAATATGTTAGCTCTATCACTGATATTTAGCGCTTTCCAGTAAATACCGCGCATATATAATATATAAATAATATATATAATAATCTCATATATATATATTTATATTTATACACATACATTATGAATATATATATATATATATATATATATATATATATATATATATATATATATATATATATATATGTGTGTGTGTGTGTGTATGTGTGTGTGCTTATAAATATATATATATAGCGAAAGTGAGAAAGAGTGGTAGATAGATATCATCATCGAATTTTTAAGTCTTAGAAATATATACATACATATATATATATATATACATATATATATATATATATGTGTGTAGCGAGACAAAAAGAGAGAGGGAGGGAGGGAGAGAGAGAGAGAGAAAGAGAGAGAGAGTACACGCTGGGGTTGATGAAACAGATGACCAGTGTTTTCGTCTGCCGAAATAGTCTATTCTCCATATGAGGTGATTTGGTATTTTATTGTTTATTAATTATTTGCTCTGTAATAATAAATACATTGAACTCTTTTTGTGGATAAATTTTAATATTTTATTTAATTAGGAGACAACGGAAACATATATATATATATATATATATATATATATATATATATATATGTATGTCATAAATATTAAATGACTGGTATGGAAGTATATATTTGGTAGGCAGCATTCTTAGAATAGCATTGAGAAAATATTCTCCAATTTCAATAAAATCCAAGTCATTTCAACAAAGTGAATATCAAAAGAGTCTAGCGAGTGATATGCGCAGGAAGAATTCAATTATTTCGAAGGTGCTACAAGGAAGCCTTATGAAATATTTATAGGCAACATTTACACAATTTAATGAGATATTCTGTGTATTCATGATCAGTATTTATAAAATTCTATATTCAGAGATTTTGTTGAGAAAGATATCTATCTTAATTTAGGTCTATCTATCTATCTATCTATCTATCTATCTATCTATCTATCTAGGTCCGTATTCAAAATCTATCTACTTTTTATATGCCAGTCTGTCTGTCTCTTTTGTTCAAATCTATCACACTCTGTTCATATCTATCTATCTATCTATCTATCTATCTATCTATCTATCTATCTATCTATCTATGTCCGTCTACCAAATCTATCTACTTATTATATGCTAGTCTGTCAGTCTCTCTTTATTCAAATATTTACACTTTGTTCATATCTATCTATCTATCTATCTATCTATCAAGGTCCGTCTTCCTAATCTATCTACTTATTATACGCCAGTCTGTCAGTCTCTTTTTGTTAAAAATCTATCACATTCTGTTCATATCTATCTATCTATCTATCTATCTATCTATCTATCTATCTATCTAGTTAGCTAGCTAGCTAGCTCGCTTATGCTAATCATAGCTATCTAAGCAACTATCAGGTGAGATTATTTCACCAATTTTAATGTAATTACTTTCTTTGCACTTGTAATAATGAACTTCTACATGTGCATTTTCTATTACATTATATATAAACTTAATATAAACTTTATTCATATCTGTTTCTTTTTTTGTAACTAAAAACAAAACTCGACATTTTGATAATGAAGATTTCCAGTCTGCTACCTCTGGGATTTCGGACTTTCATCTTTACCAACTTATGCGTTGACTAGAAATCACATACGCCTTGAAAGATAATCGCTTGCGTGAAAAATATGCATATTTTAACTAATTCAGGCTTCCTTATATTTGAGCTGTTATTTCTCTTGTCTGTGAGAATGTTGATGGGCGGGTATGCATCGATATTGGCCTGTGTCACATGATCTGCGTTCAGCAGGGAACCCTCAGGGATTTGGGGGTAAAGACAAGGTCTGAAACATGATCGATGATTATTTGGAACGATCAATCAAAGATATATATATATATATATATATATATATATATATATATATATAATTTTATGAGGGATTATTGTGTTTATAATGCTGGTCGTTGTTGGCAAGTGGAACTGATTTAGCACTCAACTGATGCGCTAGAGTTTCTATTGGAGCAGCCACTTCTGAGATGCGCTCCGGGCTATGTTGGCTTATTAGCAAGAGAAACCGGCCAACTATCTGTGTATACTGATTGGCAGGTGGTTGCAGAAGAAATTGTAGAATGGCGCCACCAACGCAAAATTATCATGACTGCTACAACCACAACTAACACCACATATAATAATAATAATAATAATAATAATTTTTGGATAAGTTTTTCCTGTCTATATATATATATATATATATATATATATATATATATATATATATTCAAGAAAGACATTCGGATTACTAACACAAAAACAGAGAATGTCTCATATCGAGAATATTTAACATTGAAAAACATAAAGAAAAAAATTAATTATTTTTAATATGTGGAAATCTCCGCCTTTTACCTGAAGACGGTCACCAGACCAGAAACACGTGTAGTAAAATAATGGAAAATAAAGCATAATATTTTTTTAAAAAATCCACATAACAATCAAAAACGTTTGCGGCACCTCTCTTCTTTTTAATATACATACTTTTCTCTCGTTGGAACCACTACAACTTCTTTCTAATATATATATATATATATATATATAACAATAATAATAATCTGACTATCCTCAAAAATGCATTTCAGTTATAATTTATTTCGCGAATATGTTCATATGTTCATCTCTTGAAACCGAAATGTTTTTTTTATTTTCTAAAAAATACTTCGGTCTAAAGAGATGAATATTTTGAATATGAAATAAATTATAACCGAAATGTATTTTTAAGGATTGTCTTTAATTATTATTATTATTATTGTTATTATTATTATTATTATTATTATTATTATATTGCTCTCTTATTTACATTGAACTCTCTTTGGATTAATATGTTCCTTGGAATTATCCATACCAATTACCAATTAATATATATATATATATATATATATATATATATATATATATATATATATATATATGATTAATAAAATATAAAATTTGTCATTTGTCAACATCAGCACATAAGATTTGATTATAGTGTTGAAGGTTTCGTGCAGAACCATTCACACTTTTTAAAGGGCCCAATAGAGAGACCTGGTACACTAAGTGACAAAAGGTCCCCAAATGACCCTCCTCAGGTTTTGAATTCACAGTTGTCCTTTTCCTAGACTAATTGCCATCCAAGGCTATAGAACCCAGTCTGTCCTGCTATTTACGCATAGATGGAGGGAGGAGAATTGTTCCAACGTGGGGAAAATGTATATTTAAAAAAAAAGAGAAACCGCAAACATTTTTGCTTATAATGTGGATTTGTTTTAGTATATATATATATATTATATATTATCTTCATATTTTTGCTACACGGGTTTCCGGTCTCGTGACCTTCTTCAGGCAAATTAAACGAATCAATTTTTAAAGGAATAAATTTTCCTTATGGACATTTAATGTTTCATTGTTCATTTTCTGAGCTTGATCTCATTTTTGGACGGTTGGCAAAAGTGAAATTATGCCTAAGTGGTAATAAAATCATTAGTTTTGGCCTTAATGAGGCCAATGACAGCTGATGCCTCTATCCCCACATCACCCCTGAGACTGTCAAATCTATTTCCATTTTTGTGTATCATGTGTGCGTGCGTGTCCCCGCTAGCTTGCAAATACACATATATGTACATGCATATATATATATATATATATATAACCCCTACGCAGATACACATTCTTCTTGTGTTGCGTAGGACTCACGTGTGTACCCGTGAGTAGTCTATCTGTTTTTGCCAGTGCATATATATATATATATATATATATATATATATATATATTGATGAAAGACAATGACACAGGTAGTTTCAAAACATTTGAAATAATTTTATTTAAATAAATATCTATCTATCTATCTATTTCACACTGTTCATATCTATCCCAGTTTATTAATATCTATCTGTCTATCTATTTATCTATCTATCTGTTTCAGACTGTTCATATCTACCCCAGTTTATTAATATCTATCTGTCTATCTATTTATCTATCTATCTATTTCAGACTGTTCATATCTACCCCAGTTTATTAATATCTATCTGTCTATCTATTTATCTATCTTATTCTGCTCATATCTATCTATCTATCTATCTATCTATCTATCTATGTGTCTGTGTGTGTGCAATGTTTAGTCATGCCATTCTTTGAAGCGTACTCACGAAATTCAGAAACTTGTCGTGTCTTTTCTTTTCTCACGCTACATTAGCGAACATAAATGGTGTGTCTTTTGATCACGCTATCCATGATCCTCTTTCAAAGCGTCACGTCTCACACTTTCTCTCTTTTTCACTCTCCCTCATTCTCTCTGTCAAACTCTCTCTTTCTCACTCTTTCTGTAGATCTCCGGAAGAATTTATTTCGGTTGCGCTCTCTGGGTCAGGAATGTGGGTTTGTAAACAATGACTCTGACGGCTATTATAGCAAGACTCTTCAGTAAAGCGAATTGAGTCCTCTCAGTTACTGTGTCTTTATTTAAAAATAAATACGCTAAAATTCACCTTCGTCCCTGCATGGAAGAATCCACGACTGATGCAAATTCAGCCGGGTTTCGATCCTAGCTAAAGGGAACAAGACGTCTAGTCACACTGAAGAGCTGTGATGCAGCGAAGCAGTCTGCTTGTGGATGACAATATATATATATATATATATATATATATATATATATATATATATATGTGTGTGTGTATGTGTGTGTGTGTGTGTGTGCACGTGTGTGTTGGGTATGTTAATTAAAAAGTAAAAAGACATAAAAATTAATGCATTTAATGAAAATCATGTTTCAAAATATACGCGCATGTTTTATGCATATCTCTGAACTGTTCCGGAAATGTAGCGTGTAGCTAAGAAGCTTAGTTTAGTTTGGCACAAGGACAATAGCATGGAACACACAGCGAGGATCAGATTCAGTCTTCAGTAACAATGATATGGTCTTCTCCCTTGCATTACTTACCAACAAGGTAATAATTGTGACATGTCCATTGAAACGAAGACGCGGGACACATTAGTGACGTTTTTTATCCTACCCGAGTGAGGATTACGCACTGAGGATGGGGATTGTCGCTAGTTTTTAACCAGTCACCAACAGCCATAACACACACACACACACACACACACACACACACACACACACACACACACACACACACAACACAGCGCGCCGCGCAGGCAGGCACACACACACACACTGAGAGACGAGCGCGTAAAGACATCCATGTGTCTGAATTCCTATTTGAGATTTAAGTTGTTTTTAAAAATATTTTATTTAAAAAATATCCATCTCACCTTATCTATCTATCTATCTATCTATCTAGTTAGTTATCTAGCTGGCTAAATTTGTTTATATATTCATATAATCTCGATCAAGAGCCCTGTAACCAATCGGTATCATATTGGCTCCACATGTACAACAGCCTTTGCAAAAGTGGCCGTGTCAGTTCCTCATACCCATGGGTATAGTGGCTAGTTTTTATCCATTTACCGACAGCCATGACACATTGCAAGAGTGGCCGTGTCAGTTCCTCATACCGATGGGTATTGTGGCTAGTCATTATCCAGTTACCGACAGCCATAACACATTATGCAACAGTGGCTGTGTCAGTTCCTCATACCGATGTGTATAGTGGCTAGTCATTATCCAGTTACCGACAGACATAAAACATTTTGCAAACATAGCTGTGTCAGTTCCTCATACCTATTGGCATATTGGCTAGTTTTTATCCAGTTACCGACAGCCATAACACCCTTTGCAACAGTAGCTGTGTCAGTACCTCATTCCAATGGGTATAGTGGCTATTCTTTATCCAGTTACCGAAAGCCGTAAAACAGTTTGCAACATTAGCTGTGTCAGTTCCTCATACATATGGGTATAGTGGCTAGTCTTTACCCAGTTACCGACAGACATAACCCATTTTGCTGCAGTGGCTGTGTCAGTTCCTCATACCGATGGGTATAGTGGCTACTCTTTATCCAGTTACCGATAGGCATAAAACATTTTGCAAACATAGCTGTGTCATATGTATAGTGGCATACGTTATGGGTATATTTGGACAGAAGCTGTGTCAGTACCTCTTACCGATGGGTATAGTGGCTAGTTTTTATCCCGTTACCGACAGCCATAACACACTTTGCGACAGAAGCTGTGTCAGTACCTCATACCGATGGGTATAGTGGCTACTCTTTATCCGTTACCGACAGCCATAACACACTTTGCGACAGAAGCTGTGTCAGTACCTCATACCGATGGGTATAGTGGCTACTCTTTTATCCTGTTACCGACAGCCATAACAGAAGCTGTGTCAGTAATTTCATTTGCGACAGACAGAAGGTCGGTACCTCATAATGGGTATAGTGGCTACTCTTTATCCCGTGTCAGAAGCTGTCAGTATTGTTACTCATACCGATGGGTATAGTGGCTACTCTTTATCCTGTTACCGACAGCCATAACACACTTTGCGACAGAAGCTGTGTCGGTACCTCATACCGATGGGTATAGTGGCTACTTTTATCCAGTTACCGACAGCCATCCGTTAAGCCACACTTTGCGACAGAAGCTGTGTCAGTACCTCATACCGATGGGTATAGTGGCTACTCTTTATCCTGTTACCGACAGCCATCCTGTGTCTGTTACCTACTCTTTTATCCGTTACACAGCCATAACACACTTTGCGACAGAAGCTGTGTCAGTACCTCATACCGATGGGTATAGTGGCTACTCCCGTTTATCCAGAAGCTGTTACCATACCGACAGCCATAACACACTTTGCGACAGAAGCTGTGTCAGTTCCTCATACCGATGGGTATAGTGGCTACTCTTTATCCCGTTACCGACAGCCATAACACACTTTGACAGACAGTAAGCTGATGGGTATGTGGCTACCTTTATCCCGTTACCGATGGGTGCGACAGAAGCTAGTGGGTATAGTGGCTACTCTTTATCCCGTTACAGACGGCCATAACACACTTTGCGACAGAAGCTGTGTCAGTACCTCATACCGATGGGTATAGTGGCTACTTTTATCCTGTTACAGACAGCCATAACACACTTTGCGACAGAAGCTGTGTCAGTACCTCGCACCGATGGGTATAGTGGCTACTCTTTATCCCGTTACCGACAGCCATAACACACTTTGCGACAGAAGCTGTGTCAGTTCCTCATACCGATGGGTATAGTGGCTACTTTTATCCTGTTACCGACAGCCATAACACACTTTGCGACAGAAGCTGTGTCAGTACCTCATACCGATGGGTATAGTGGCTACTTTTTATCCCGTTACCGACAGCCATAACACACTTTGCGACAGAAGCTGTGTCAGTTCCATACCGATGGGGGTGTGGCTACTCTTATCCCGTTACAGACGGCCATAACACACTTTGCGACAGAAGCTGTGTCAGTACCTCATACCGATGGGTATAGTGGCTACCATCCTGTTACCGACAGCCATAACACACTTTGCGACAGAAGCTGTGTTCCTCATACCGATGGGTCCTCATCCTGTTACCGATGGGACAGAAGCTATATTGGCTATAGTGGCTACTTTTATCCTGTTACCGACAGCCATAACACACTTTGCGACAGAAGCTGTGTCCGATGGGTATAGTGGCTACTCTTTATCCTCACCGACAGCCATACCGACAGGGTATACCTCATACCGATGGGTATAGTGGCTACTATCCTGTTACCGACAGCCATCCACTTTGCGACAGAAGCTGTGTCGGTACCTCATACCGATGGGTATAGTGGCTAATCCCGTTACCGACAGCCATAACACACTTTAAGACAGAAGCTGTGTCGGTACACTGGGTTAGTGGCTACTCTTATCCCGTTACGACAGCCATAACACACTTTGCGACAGAAGCTGTCAGTACCTCATACCGATGGGTATAGTGGCTACTCTCCGTACAGCCAGCCATAACACAAGGCTCCTGTTATACCGATGGGTATATTTTGCCCGACAGACAGCCATAACACACTTTGCGACAGAAGCTGTGTCAAATTACCTCATACCGATGGGTATAGTGGCTACTTTTATCCTGTTACCGACAGCCATAACACACTTTGCGACAGAAGCTGTGTCAGTAATTCATACCGATGACAGGTATAGTGGCCATAGTCTTTATCCCGTTACCGACAGCCATAACACACTTTGCGACAGAAGCTGTGTCCAGTACCTCACCGATGGGTATAGTGGCTACTCTTTTTATCCCGTTACCGACAGCCATAACACACTTTGCGACAGAAGCTGTGTCAGTACCTCATACCGATGGGTATAGTGGCTACTCTTTATCCCGTTACAGACAGCCATAACACACTTTGCGACAGAAGCTGTGTCAGTACCTCATACCGATGGGTATAGTGGCTACTCTTTATCCCGTTACCGACAGCCATAACACACTTTGCGACAGAAGCTGTGTCAGTTCCCATACCGATGGGTATAGTGGCTATTCTTATCCTGTTACCGACAGCCATAACACACTTTTATGACAGAAGCTGTGTCAGTACCTCATACCGATGGGTATAGTGGCTACTCTTTATCCGTTACCGACAGCCATAACACACTTTGCGACAGAAGCTGTGTCGGTACCTCATACCGATGGGTATAGTGGCTACTTTATCCTGTTACCGACAGCCATAACACACTTTGCGACAGAAGCTGTGTCAGTTCCTCATACCGATGGGTATAGTGGCTACTCTTTATCCCGTTACCGACAGCCATAACACACTTTGCGACAGAAGCTGTGTCAGTTCCTCATACCGATGGGTATAGTGGCTACTCTTTATCCCGTTACAGACGGCCATAACACACTTTGCGACAGAAGCTGTGTCAAACCTCATACCGATGGGTATAGTGGCTACTCTTCCTGTTATCGACAGCCACCGACAGAAGCCATAACACTACTTTTATCCTGTTACTGACAGATAACACACTTTGTGTCAGTTCCTCATACCGATGGGTATAGTGGCTACTCTTTATCCTGTTACCGACAGCCATAACACACTTTGCGACAGAAGCTGTGTCAGTACCTCATACCGATGGGTATAGTGGCTACTCTTTATCCTGTTACAGACAGCCATAACACACTTTATGACTTTGCGACAGAAGCTGTGTCAGTTACCTTTCATACCGATGGGTATAGATGGCTACTCTTTATCCCGTTACCGACAGCCATAACACACTTTGCGACAGAAGCTGTGTCAGTTCCTCATACCGATGGGTATAGTGGCTACTTTTTTATCCCGTTACCGACAGCCATAACACACTTTTGCGACAGAAGCTGTGTCAGTACCTCATACCGATGGGTATAGTGGCTACTCTTTATCCTGTTACCGACAGCCATAACACACCGCGACAGAAGCTGTGTCAGTAGATGGGTATAGTGGCTACTCTTTATCCCGTTACAGTTATCCAGCCGATGGGTATAGTGGCACACCTTTGCGACAGCCAAGCACTTTGCGACAGAAGCTGTGCTGTCTCATACCGATGGGTATAGTGGCTTCTTTATCCCGTTACAGACAGCCATAACACACTTTGCGACAGAAGCTGTGTCAGTACCTCATACCGATGGGTATAGTGGCTACTTTTATCCCGTTACCGACGGCCATAACACACTTTGCGACAGAAGCTGTGTCAGTACCTCATACCGATGGGTATAGTGGCTACTCTTTTATCCCGTTACCGACAGCCATAACACACTTTGCGACAGAAGCTGTGTCCTCATACCGATGGGTATAGTGGCTACTCTTTATCCGTTACAGACGGCCATAACACACTGGACAGAAGCTGTTTCATACCGATGGGTATAGTTATCCCGTTACAGCCCATAACACACTTTGCGACAGAAGCTGTGTCAGTACCTCATACCGATGGGTATACTCTTCCCGTTGGGCCATAACACACTTTGCGACAGAAGTTTATCCTACTGTTACCGACAGACCCATAACACACTTTGCGACAGAAGCTGTGTCAGTACCTCATACCGATGGGTATAATTGGCTATAACTCTTATCCCGTTACCGACAGCCATAACACACTTTGCGACAGAAGCTGTGTCAGTTCTTCATACCGATGGGTATAGTGGCTACTCTTTATCCTGTTACCGACAGCCATAACACACTTTGCGACAGAAGCTGTGTCAGTTCCTCATACCGATGGGTATAGTGGCTACTCTTTATCCCTGTTACCGACAGCCATAACACACTTTGCGACAGAAGCCGCGCACACTTTGTGCTGTGTCGTACCTCATACCGATGGGTATAGTGGCACTTTTTATCCGATGGGTATAGTCCACCGATGGGTATAGTGGCTTTATCCTGTTAC